TCTTACATTTTATCTTATCAATCAGCTTGAAACCTAGAATGGAAATATCAACACGACACAAGCAATTAATGTTGCCACAAAAAGTATTTCAAGCTGTGCCATCTTGTACCAAAACCTCATGAAATTTGACAAATGAATAAAGGATATTCAGTAATTCTCCTGCCTACTGAGAGCCTCCTGGACAATGCAGAGGTCTTTGGACCTGCAGCCCTGGAAGACCAACTAGAGATCAGTGGCTGCCAGCACGGCCTCATGGGAAATGTAGTGCTACGGGAGTAGGAGAAGGAGAAGGCGTCTTTGAGGCATGAATTGAACAAAAAGGGTCAACAGGAATACATGTTGTGCCAAAAGTTATGTGCTAGGGGAAGGGTGTGTGTGTGTGTGTGTGTGTGTGTGTTTGTTTTGTACACAGGCGATGGCCAGTAATCTGCAAATGGCCCTGGTTTGAGTGTCTCTCAGGGATGAGAAAAATATCAGCACACACGCCTGCCAAAACACCCTCGCAGATAAATGTAAAACATGTACAGTAATGTACTGACATACATTGCACTGCCCCATTTTGAGCCACTTATATCCCGCCTGCACACACACACACGCACACACACACACACACACACACACACACACACATATACACCCTCAGCGATCGGACCAGACCAGTGTGCTAAATAAAGACAGACAGTGGAACAGATTTTCACACCCAGTGGGGCCATTAGCAGCTCAGTTAGACCACCAGGAAACTTCCATCCTCATCAGAATCACCAACACATACAACCGACACCTGCCATCCACGAGTGACACACGCGCACAAATTAGGTTGAAATGACAAAAAATCCTACGCAGGCCCCAAACAAGCATCTACACTTATTACACATTTGTGATTATAGCACAGTCTGCTCCCATCAACAACACTTAATACGTTTTCATATGTAGTATTCAAATTGAAAGCACCTGTGTGTGTGTGTGTGTGTGTGTGTATGGACTACCTGACTCATCAGCGGTGTGGTATGCATCGGGTCTAACTCAAGGCTGAGAAAACGCGGCTGCTGTTAAGCAGGTGATTTGTTGAGAACAACTCAGGCATGTTTATTTTATTTTGAAAAGCCGTGTTTTCATGGAAGCTATAGCAGGATACAGGGACAAAAGACGTCATTACAGTTGAGGTTATTTCAACACGTACACACTATTCTTGTGTCCTTTTTTCTGAGGTCATGGGTTGATGATCACCAAAGCACCGTGAATCGGAAAAGATTGGCCCCCAATGAAAAAAAGGTCTCGGTTCCACTGGAATCACTCACGTGTTATTTTAATTATGTCTTTCTTTCCAAACTTGTTGTGCGTGGACATCTTTTTAAAGTAAATATATTCCTCCCCAGCCCCCCTTATCTCCTATGTGAATGACAGTTACAATAAAGAAGGCTGCTTTGACCTTTTTAAGAGTATTTGGAAGGAAGTGGGCGAAACGTCCCTGACTACAACTGTTATTTTAGAAAATGAATTCTCAGAGTTCCCCCTCAATTATGAATTCCCACTCCAGGGCAGGCATTTGTACCTGGCACTGTTCTCATTAACCAGAGAGCTGATTTAATTGACTGTTCTGCACGTCCGTCCGACACGCTAACCTGCTCGCGCACACACACACACACACACACACACACACACACACACACACATGCATGCCCCGGCTTTGAGTTGACCCTGGCCGCGGCCCCAGGGAGCGTCCTCTGGCAAGAGCGGCGCTGTATGCAAATGAGGGGGGGGGCTCCATCACACAATAATTGCTTTGTGTTGCACCGAGGAAGCTGGAGTTGGTTTTGTGTTCGTATTCATTGGCATTTCCTGTCATGGCTGCGGCACGGTGTTACCTCGCACTCGTTTATCACGGGTTGTTGTTGTTGTTCGCAGCACACGCCGCACATGTAGCTATGCTGTCAGTGTTATGAGAAGAATAATTTAGCTTTGAGACAAAATGACATCATTTAAAAGAGCGTGCTAATCATAGTAATTCCCTTTTACAGTTTACAGTTAAAAACTGAGACTCGCTATTACCCTGTTTAGGTTAATCAGCGTATCTTCTTGATAATTTGTCCAACTTCGCTGCTGTTTTTTCGTGCTCGATAAGCCAACGAACGAAGACCTCTGGCGCTAAGCTTCCTTGTGTCTGTTTATGTGTCAGCTAAAACAGTAGGTTAGGAAATTCAGATTCAAAAAGACGGACCTACGGTTTTAAACTGGCTTCAATGTATTTAAATAATTTAGAAAAGCACAAACTGAGAGATGATTTCGGAAATGGATGTTACTGTTCGTTTAAATTAAGTTGTGGAGACATTTTCATACTGTTGAGTTTTTATAACATTTATTGTTAGGATAATTATAGTAAATTAGGACATTTTAATGTGAGAAAAACAAGCTGTATTCGCTGTACTTTGGTTGCTCTCCATATTGCACTTTATTCCCTGTTGCCAAGCGCTTTTTAAATTTATCCTGCAGCTGCTTCGGGAAAAAACAAAAACATTTTTTTGACAATTTGTGGGCAACATGACAAGATAGACAAACACAATGTCAACATGAAGTAGTGGAGAACGTTCGGGGAGACGGTTCACTGTATTCACATCCACAAAGCTACAACAGCCTTCATTCACTTGTTTAATCATTTGGCATCTTACACGTTTTCTCTTCACGTAGTTCTGCTTCGGTCGCTGGAATTTTTCAAACAATTTCTCTTTAGTATCGTCTGAAAAACAGATACTCATCGGTGTTCGCGGTCTCCTTTCAGCCTTCGCCGAATGCCGTATCTGCGCGCTTTGTTTGCACGCCCCTCTCTCCCTCCCTCTCATGGCACCGCTGTCCCCCACTTTCCCCCCTTCCCCTTCCCCAATTCTTTTCTTCACCCTCACCTCCCCCCCCGTTGTCTTTTATCTCCCCATCGTAGATAAAAGCCAAGCACTCATCGCCAGGGAATAATAAGTCTGGTCCATCTCAAATCACTGTTGCACGTTTCCATCTCCCTGGCGGTTCCCGCGCGCCGGCCGTGGTAGTAACTCACGGTGCGTTGGCAGATGCCCAGGCACTCTAACTCAGAACGTGCCTCTGAGTCTGATACTTTATCTCTCTTTTGCATCTATTAAGTCCTCTGTCAGCCGTGCTGCTCTCCCATATGTATATAATGTGCATTTTCCCTCATTTTGTTCTTGTATCGCGTCAATTTTCCTTTATTGCCCCCCGGTTGTTGTTCATTTTTTCTTTGCATTTCTTTTTAATAAATATTTGATTAGCTGTGCGTTTGGGTGTTTGCGCGCTTTATCCTCCTCCTTGACAAAAGTCCAAGACGGCAAACAGCCGATCTGTTGTAAATCTTTATTATTGACGGCCAGCCTCGGGGTCGGCGCTGTGCTCAGAAGTCAGAAACCACCAACGTACCGTTCATAAATATGCATCAAGATGTTGCGGCAACATGCGAATATTTATCGTTGACTTAGTCTTATGTCATGCACGTTTTCACTGCGAGAAACTACTGTGTTTGTTTGCGCTTGTAATTCCTCTTGAGTTAATCTGTATCTCTCGTAACTTTTCTGAAGTCGGTCTAATTGTATTAGACGAGGCTCTAAACACAGCAGTCCAGTAATAAGTACCACCCTCGTAACGCAAAGCAACAAAGTTTCTTCTCTGGCCTGTAATTGTTGTTGCTGCTGCACTTTATTATACAGAGAAGTGCTTTTCGATATGCTCCTTTTTCTATATCAAGACTTACAACGGCAGCATGAAAGGATTTGCGTCGTTGATCAGCAGCATTTTCAAATACTAAACCTCGCGTTATCCAGCAGCGTGATGAATAAATCTTGTCATCACATGAAGTCTCAGTAATGTGAAAAGCTTGTAAATCCCCCGTGGGAGTCTCACTACGTTTTACTCTTCATTCTATATTTTCCTCCACACTCTCTCCTCTTTATCAGTCTTACTCTGCTGAATTTGAGGAACAAAATACCAGCGCTATAGATCATCTTGACAGTTTAATTTCAATGCCTGATTATCAGTCAATTTGATAATTACATCATCCAACCATCCAATTAATGTGTTCTATATTTACAATGATCATCAGGTGGGCTCGTCGCTGCTGCGTCATTTATCAAGGGTGAGGGATTAGAACCACGAGGGACCTTGGCAGTTTGCGCGTGAGGGCTCTTGATTGAGTTATAAAAATCTGTGTGTTTGTGTAGGCGTGTGTGTGTGTGTGTGTGTGTGTGTGTGTGCATCGGCCTGTGGAGAGGTTATCGCCGGTGCTCCTCAATCCGTTCCTTCACACTTCAACAGAGCGTGTTGAGGAAACACAGGAGGAGCGAAAGGGAGCGGAGGCGAACGAATGATCAAAGGATTTCATGCCTCCTCCTCCTCCTCTTCCTCCTCATCTCCTGTCTGCTCTGTTTGGTTCGGGGAGGAAAGCGTGCCAGTGAAGTTACTGACACACAAAAACTCCTCCTCGAACTTGAAGCTCCTGCTTTCCCCCCCCCGAGAGCTGACGCCCCCTCCAACGCAAGCGAAGGGGGCCTCGCGTGGGAACAGGGACCCCCGATCAGCAAGGGGTCGTCCATCTGGAGCGCGGCGTTCACACGCTGCAGTGGTAATCGAATACAAGGGGGTTTGCTTCGTCTTAGGTGGGATCCCAGCGTCTGGCCGTCCACAAAACAGTCAGGATGGAGCAAGTGTTCCTCTTGCTTTTGACAACGCAGTGTTTTCTCCTCATCTGCGCGCGTGTATTTTCTTCTAGATGAAACAAAGGTTCACGACGAGAATACATTTTCTGCTGTTTCTCTAAAGCCCGACTCGTTTAGTCGATGATTTGTGCTCACAGTTGTGCCTCCGGGTTCATGTGCGAGTGTGGGATTTGAGAGCAGGTGTTTTATCACTCAGGCGCTTTTTGTTGCATTTTTCCCTTTTCGCTAGATGTCTTGTTATCCAAAATAAGACTTTGAATCCACGCTCTCTCTATTGTCTCTTCCCAGACGACGTGCCGCCTTACTTCAAGACGGAGCCCGTGCGTAGCCAGCTCCATCTGGAGCGCAACAGGCTGGTGCTGACGTGCATGGCGGAGGGCAGCTGGCCGCTGGAGTTCAAATGGATCCACAACAGCACGGAGCTGACGCGCTTCTCCCTGGAGTACAAGTAAGGAGCGAGCGAATGAATGGCTGAGCGATTGGGGGGCGGCGGAGAGGGGGGGGGGGCATACATAGCCATAAGAATGTACGTTTTGATTCAAAATTGAGGGGTTTCTCATTTTGACATTTGAGACCAAGGTGGCAAAAATCCCACCCAAACCAGAAGAGAGCAGCGAGTTTATTATGGCCAAATAATATGTTGCGTATTTTAGGTGTCACTATTTGAGGAAGAACCCAAAGCACAATTTCCACACCCAAGAAACATAAAGCTAAGTGATTGTGTCTTATCTGAACCAAAAAAATGATTGAATACAAAAGACTGTCATTTGAATCCAAACAGAAAATCAACGTTTTAGATAAATTATTAAAATATCAACTTTTACATTAAGATCAAATGACCAAAACCTTTTCTGTCCCTGTGTACTAGTCTGCATGCACGTTCTATCCATCACAGCGGCACTGAGGAAAATGCCTTTTTTTTTTCTCCTTTTTTCTTCTGTCTCTCTCATTTCCTGTGGGGGCTCTGTGACCCCCATCACTCTCTCTGGAGGGGCGGCGCGCAAGCGAAAGGCGCGAATGAGAGTTGGGGCAGGAGATAAATCGTCTTTAATGGTAACTTTAAGATCGGGAATGTGGCGAACATCGCTCTTATCTCGGCCAGCAGTGTGTCTCTGGGCGATTTTTGTGTGTGTGTGCGTGCAGACAGCAGTGTAAAGGAAGCACCAGAGGATGTAAAAGTAAAGCTCGTTGACACACACTTTGCTGATCTTAGCCCGAGTGTTGTGTTCAGATACGAGTGTGTACGCGGACACAACAGGCGGCGAACGTGCAGCGAGCCCGGTCGATGCAGACGGGCTTTTCTGCTGACAATCTCTAGAGACGGATAAGAGCAGAGTGGAAACAGCGGAGGAGGGGGAGATGGGGGAGACGGGGGGGCGCAGAAGTGACACACAGATGCCACAACAATTGATCAGAACCAACCGTACTTGACACTCTGTGTGCTGGAGCCTCGGGCCTCCCTTCCCCGTGTTATTGGGTGAGTGACGGGACGGCTGATTAAACAAACGGTCGAGAGGAAAGTAGCGTCGGATCATGCGTGTGTGTGTGTGTGTGTGTGTGTGTGCGCGCGCGCGCGCTGGGCAAAGCAACACCAGGTGACACGGACACATGCAGAACATTTTTGCATTTTTTTCTCAAACTGATGTACATTCCGTCATTTCTGTATTTTGCGTTTTGTGTGTTTAGGTAGGCAGCCCTCCTCATTCCTCACGTCGGCCTTTATCTGTGCTGTGAGACTATTGGAGCAGAACAGAACCCCATATTTAATGGGGTTACGGTAGAGGTCCCCACTGCTGAGTGCTGGTTTAAATATTGACACCATGCGACTTGACCTCGCGTCCTCTGGCAACCGATCAATGCTGCAAGGTGTGTGTGTGGGTATTACTATTCAACATGAAGGTGGAAGTGTGTGTGTGTGTGTGTGTGTGTGTGTGTGTGTGTGCGCGCGCTAGAGAGAGCTGGAGAGTGGGACAGTTTTTGTGATATCTGCTGTCACAAGTTTCACATCTGGCAGGGAACAGGCCCAGCGTTAAATTCTCTCACATAACAGTTCATATTACACACAGTATCTGTGAGCCAGCCAGACACACACACACACACACACACACACACACACACATTTGTATTCACAGCATTTTGGCGAGCATTCTGCTTTATTTGTTCACACATAATCATTTAAGAGATAACTCTCCAAATTATAATTCATTTTAATTAATTAAGATTGAAGATTATATCCAATACAATTAAGGATTTTTGAGCTCATAAGCCCTTGAATCAACACACGATGCTTTAGTGCAGCGGGCGCCCACGCTTTCTCAGCCCGCCAGCTACTTTTCAATCAACCGAGCTACGGCGTCCGTTCGCTCGACCTGTCGGGCAGCGCTGCTTTAGTGGATCGATTTGGTCTGTGAACACACCGCAAACTGCAACCGCCGGCCGTCACACGGATAGAAACACCTCAGGGGCATTTTTACCTGGCACGCCACCCGGGCTTTATGCTGCCAATTAACCTCGAAACTTAATTAAGAGAGTCATTATTAATCTCGTTTTTATTTGTCCATTGTTTCTTGGCTGGTTGGTGGAGTGTGGCGTTCGTTACCTTCAGGGGATTTTCATATAGTAATGAGAGGGACAGACTGCTGTTTAACAGTAGTTCACAGGAAGAAAATGAAATAGCATGACGGACATGACTAGACTAGAGTGATCGACTTGTCATCTCTTCTGTGCTCACCTCTCCTTGTTGTTTGTCACTTTTTGAGAAGTGAAAATTAGTTTTCCCCCACAATGCAGTCACAACCATTTTCAGCCAACCCTTCTTCTTACAATGAAGACGGAAAGAGGAAGAAACATAGAATGACGTTAACATTTTGACAAGTGGCATAATAAATGCCACTTCGATCGCTCCAGTGATGACTGCGCTCTGAATAACGCGACTGTGTTCTGAAAGTAGAACAGCTTTTATCATAAAAACACTTTTTGAGCGATGGAGATTCATTTGCACTCTTTTTTCAAAAATCCCCACTCCGTCTTCCACGCCTCCCTTCACAGTCTGGAGCTCTCTTTCATCCTTTCTCTTTTTGCTAATCCTGTCCGACTCATATACGTGGACTAGCACCGGGCATTCTACGTGTGTGTGTGTGTGTGTGTGTGTGTGTGTGTGTGTGTGTGTGTGTGTGTGTGTGTGTGTGTGTGTGTGTGTGTGTTTTTACAGATATAATTTCATGGTGGCTCTGAACAAATTAACACAAGTTCAACACAATGTCGTCCCATGTCTGGGGAAAGAGACGGCTCAGTAGATGGAGACAAAGGAAAAGCGGGAGGGCCCATGTAGCTGTAGATGATGGCAACTTATCTAATGTGTGTGTGTGCGTCGTATAGTGTGAGCTTCATCTAATTTAAATTCATGTAATGAAATATTACTCCCAACAGGATTTGAATATTGTTCAACGTGACATGAAACCACCTTCATTTTCATCCGATTTTCGCCGCCCAGCGCGACGATTTGTGGTAATCATTCGCAGCCTCGGGACCTGCGACTGTTGAAAAGCCTCCTCCACAAACAGCTAAAACACAACAACCACAGCGTTTTGCTCGTCAGAGCGATAAACTGGGACGATGAACAAACAAGGTGACCTTGAGAATCAAATTTGCCCTTTGACTCGACTTTTATCTGCCATCCCGCGTCCCCCTTTTTTTTTTCGAGTTCGGCACCATCCGGCACGTCTGACGGATCGATGCGTCGCTCTCGCTGCTGATTCTCACCTCCAAGTTAGATACAAACAAAAGCTTTTTGTTGGTCTGTGACCACGTTAGAAACGACATCGACTGATAACTCCGTTAACATTCGTACGAGGCTGTTTGTCTCCAGCAGCGAGTTATTGCACAGGTGACCCTCACCGCATCCCTGCCTCGCTTCACACAAACAAATGGCCGTCTTTCAGAATGTTGCTTCCACCTACATCCATCTGTTAAGACACTTACGTTATCTTCATGCACTCATTCCCATTCAGCTCTTTAATTCCCTCATATTCAGCTTTGAAGAGTCCTCACATCTCAAATCAATGCAACGAACGGAAATAAAACGTATAATAATACCGCTAACTGCCACTTCACTGGAGAAAATTGCAGTATCCTTGAAAAAAAAAGTCAACTTTAACAGAATGTAATTCCCTTCGACGCTCTGACGAGATGGGTGATATTCGTTCTGAGGAGAAAAAGAAGTAGTATCATAAAATAACAGGCAGAGCCGACTCGGAGAGGACCGGCCCGGCCAGGAAGCGTCTCGGCCTCTCTGGTCTGACCTTAATGGATTCCCCCCTGTAACTAAAAACATCCATTTTCTACCTCCCTGCCAGTCTCCTCCACGGCCCCCAGACACTTCGGCTTTTCTCTCACCTTTCTCTCTCTCCACCTCCTCGCTCTCGCTCACTGTTTCACGTGGAGAGAGTGAGTGCCTCCGACTGAAAGAGCGACAGCGAGCCAGAGAGCAAAAAAAGGAAAACACCCCGATCAGACGCCATTCGTTTCGTTGTGCGTGTTTACTGTATTTGTGTCTTAACGAGTTGCAGGGTTAATGCGCTCTTGGCAGGTACTGTGCGTATTGTGTTGCCCGCGGAGCGTTTGGATAATCAGAGCCGCGTTGACGCCGTGGTACGACTTTGCGTAACGCCTGCCGAGTACGAAATGGTCTGGATTGAAACATACTGGTCAGGTTCCCAGAACGTTTAGCGCTGACCCACATTGGAAGCTGGCTCGCGGGGCCGCTGCCTACTCTCTGATTCAAAGACGCTCGCTGGAGAACATGTGCTACTGTGTTTTTTTTTTGTTTTTTTTTATCACACGGCGATTCTCGGTACGTTGCATCGCGAGGCGTCGGAAAGGCCTCCGAGGCACCGGTACCGGTCGCCTCATCGTGTCATTTCGATTCTTCTTCAATCATCTTCAAACTCCACCGTTCCATATTTTTCACATGCTTCGATCCCATGTGCCACACGGAACAACCAACAGATGCCTCACTGCTTTAAAGGACGTGACATCATCCCTGCGTCTTTTGTTGTAATTATTTTTTAGTGGGGTTGAGAAAATGAAAAAACATGCATTCATACGTAGGACTTAATAAGCAGTGAGTGACCAAATGCAGATTGCTCTTGTCGGCGTTCCCTCTGTTTTATCCTCAGGGTAGATAGAACACATGGAGCTGATCCCTCCGGACGTGTAGACAAATCACCCACTATTGATTTCCCAGAGATGAAGCCAGAAGCCCCTTATTACCCGTCATGTGTTGTGATGGGCAGAGAGAAGACGATCAGAGAGGAGACGCTCATCCTATAGAATTTAAAAAAGAGGATCCCAGTGTATGAATCAATCCACTTTCAAAGGGACGTCTCCTCAAAAAAGATTTCACTTGATTGATTTACTGCCAGCTGCTTTCAGAGACACTGGTGAAGGAAACATCATGGCTCCGAGGTGTGTCACATACTAGTATTTCACTTCAACTGCTGCTTTCTGCAACGGCAAATGTTTTACTTATGATTCGCACAACATCATACATAACATATAATCATCCTATCAGATTTAAGGGGCACGTCCATCCGTCTAAACCCCTGTAATCTATAGTAATTATCCTGTCAGAAGTAATCATTTGCCTGCGTGCTATTGCTTTTGTTTATATGTTACAACACAAAGTGGGCACCGATACCGCAAGAAATCTCATTAACGAAAGTAGAATGACATAAAAAACGTGTTTTAAGAGGGCGATGGCCTTTACTGTACAGTGACAGTAAAAAAACAACATCACTACGTGCTACGTATCTGCTTTCATTAAAACTTGTTAAGTAATTGTTGCACGAGACAAAGCGTCCGGGTCACGTTTTAAATGGTGCGACGTGTTCAGCAGCAATAATAACACTTAATGGTTTACTCTCATGCATTTAGACTATAATTACGTGTGTGTGAGGGTTTATTATCTTTCTGCACCAGTAATTTAAGTGAAATGTTATTGGCGCTAACCTTGGTCACGGGTTTGATGTTATTATGGTAGCACGCGCCGCGAAGCGCGACGTAGCCGTCTTCAATCGCGGGTTATGGTTTCGCCAATCGTCCCCTGCCACGCCGTCACCTTTCCCTCCCTTCTCCTCCCTTTTCCTCCCTCCACCCGGCCTCCCATCGTTTCCACGCTCCCAGTCTTCCTCCTTCTCCGGCCCACGTTCCTCCCGTCGGATCTTTTCTCCTGAGTGGGGTTAATTAAAGGGGATGTGACGGAGTGCGCTGACCACAGGGGCATCAATCAATCTCTGTCCGACACGGCGAGGCCCCCCCCCCACCCCCCCATCCTTCCCACAGACTCCCCCCAACCTGCTGCCAACACTCGCCGCTCCGCAAAGGTTAATTGTATTCATTATATAAAGGGCCGGGGAGGGAGGGAGGGAGCGAGGGAGAATACGCTCCACAGTGACCCTGAAGGTTCAGGCTCCGTAGGCCTCAGCGGGGTTGGACTTGGAGCACCGACACTACCTGTCAGCTTCTGCTCCGCCCAAACTCCGACGAGAACCACAGGTTGTGTGTGTTTCATCACCTATTAGCCTCATATTTCTGCCTCCTATGCATCACACATGCACGTATGTGTATTAGTTTGGCTGATGGAACATATGAAAGGAGTTGCACATCATTAATAGAGCTTCCTAATTAGTTGATTAAGCCTAAACAGACTTTAGGCAAAAACTAATTTAGTCCTTCGGGTGCAAATGACGCTGCTGCTAATGGGATCTGACACCACTTCATTTTTTTTTGTTATGGATATTAACAGCGTTCGAACATATCCAACCATTTGTTAGCGCAGTGCAGGTTCCACTTGGCGGAAGCCCCTTTTGCTTGCGTTAAGGCGTGCGTCATACACACAGAAACTCCAATTGCTAATTTCGTTTCCCCGTTTCTGGAGTGCGATGGCATGCCGATGTTGCAGAGGTCAAGTAAAGCGCGGCTCGTCTTGTTGTTCCCAAAACAGTTAGCAGTGAGCCACATATCAATTTTCTGTCCAGACAGAAACCGCTGTGTTCGCTGGAAGGAAACATAAAAGTATGCAAAAAAAAACATTCACATTCAAGAGGTTTTCATAGCCACAGTTATTTCATGCTGTGGCCAGTTAGTTAGCCAGATGTGCAGGCTGAAAACCTCCCTGCACAAGTGTCTGATTGGACTGTTGAGTACCCAGCAGGGAGAATCAGACACATCAATGAGCGGACCCACTGGACCCATTGGACCCATTGGACATCAGTGTTACGCCAACGTGTTAACGCGCAAACCAACAGGCGGCTGCTCTCAACGGGTCAGCGGCTTTGATCGCTGAAATGTAGCGAAAAGTAAAGTTTCCCAACACGGACGCAACTAATGTACATAACGAAATAGAGCTGAAAGTAAAGTTTCCCAACACGGACGCAACTAATGTACATAACGAAATAGAGCTGAGACGGGCGGCTGAAGGGTTTAGTGAGCGCTCTTCATCACCATTGTCCAAACACAGAAAGAGGAAATATCTTGTGGAGGAACGGTTTCCCCCGTTCAGAGACTTGAAGTTTCTCTGGCTTCTCCTAATTGGGTGTCACTTTCTATTTTAATTTGTCGCCCATCTGTGTGTGTATGTTTGGTCTTAAGTAACGTCACTTTGCAAGCCTGAAGGCATAAAGACGACAGCTAAGACTTTGAAGGGGGATTTTTCTCAGCCTGATCAAATTCATAAGGACTTTTTAAATATATTCTGGTTGTCTGTACTGGGTTTCATTCCGCACACTTATGCGTTTGGTTTGCTTATTATACACATCCTCTTAGAAAGTATCATTTCATTTCGCTTCTGTTAAGCCCCTGGCAGTCTGTGAAAACTTGTCTATTCATGTATATTTAGTCTGAGTACTGTTTGGTTTGGCAACATCCTACACACGTTTTAGTGCTTTTAGGGGAACAGGCCTATAACGCCTCCTATTATTTGACTCCTTCCTCCTCAACGAAAAGATTTATTTCTGGTAAAGTGTCCAAACCGTCCAGCAATTAGCTTGTCAAAACTTTAAAATTGCTCTCTTTCACTTCTCCGTCATTCACTCAAGCGCTTCCCAAACATGCATTAATGCAAATAAAACCTCTTGACACAAAAGGTAGAATCACAAAACCAAACATCACTCCGGCGTCCCGCCTGGCGGTGCGCTAAGCACTCTCGAGCAAGTAGCGCGCAGCAATGTGACAGCAGCGATGGTAAGCGCCATTCTCGCAGCGAGAAGTGTTTCACCTCCCACAAGAAGTGTATTGACAAGGCGTGTTGTGCTAGAATTAAACATGCACAACTCTCTTAAGGCTAATTCCCAACGTCTTCATTGTTGTGATAACATCTATTATGCCGCCAGTTGTCCGCGGCGTCTATCTCCTTTCCGCGCCAAGACGATGCCTGCCGTGCTCAGCAGTCTGGAAGCCTGATCTTTGAAATGAACGACTTAAACAAATCAAAAATAGAGCATCTTTTGCATCCCAGCGGCATCGCTGTACGGCAGATGCCGAAGAAGCCGCGTGCACACAGTCGAACAAACATTGATCACTGATAAGCGTCTGCAGGTGTCTCCTCCAGAAGCCAGTAAACTTGTGGTTGGATCAAAAGTGGTGGTTTCTAGCAGCTTCTATACACACACACACACACACACACACACACAGAGGACCATTAGGGGCGTTTGAAACGGCCACTTCATCCCAGCCTCCTCCGACAACCGCGTCAACACGTTTGTCTTTGATTTGCACAAGCGCGGGTAACTCTTTCAGGGTGTCTCTTCTCGAGAGGCAGCGCCGTTGTTGCCACAAAATCTTTGTTCGCACTTGAAGTGCAATTTAGCATCAAATGTTTTAGGTTTGTTTTGTGTGCAATTCTCAGGTTCGTTTGTCTCGAGGTGTGTTTTTGCACACACATTCGTGGACAACGTGGAGGACGCGGAACGAATGCAGAGGCAGACTTTTTCCATCATCAGCACTTGCCACTTGTTCTTCTAGCGTCAGCTGCAACACCAGATGTGCCTCAAGACGCGCGCATATACATCAAGTGGGTCGTTAGTCTTCGCAGTACAGCAGCTTTTGTAAAGCGCAGGTTGCGCTGCCTCCGCTTGGCGGGGAGGCGGTACTGCCACCGCAGCTGGACACAAAAAGTCAAGGTCAGAGGGAGAGCGTCGACTGGTGGAGACGCGTAGCTTCGATCTGTGTCCCAGGGGAGCTGGTGCGCATGCGTGCGATTGCATAGAGCCGGTTGGAATGCGGGTGTTTGTCGTCTGTGCCCGTGTGTGTGCGTGCGTGTGCGTGTGTGTGTGTCTTCGGGGAGAGCTTTGCTGTGGAAGCTCGGTTAGCCTCCCGAGCATCATTATCATTAGAATAAACAATAGCTAAGCTCAGATGTCCTCAGTGCCCTTGTTCCTATTAGATGGTGTTTGTTGGGGTGTGTGTGTGTGTGTGTTTGTGCACCTTCTCAGAATACTGTTTGTGCTTTTTAGAAATATCTGTGTTTGCGCCCTTACATAAGGACCCTTTTTGAATCTACTTTTATCTTGTTTAGTTCACTATTTCATCCGATGCCGTCTAAAAGAATCCTCATCCGTGTCTTGTGCTGGTTTCTGTCCCCACCAAAGGTACCTGATCCCTTCGTTGGACCGCTCCCATGCCGGCTTCTACCGCTGCATCGTGAGGAATCGCGTGGGAGCTCTTCTGCAGAGGCGCACAGAAGTGCAGGTGGCCTGTAAGTATCCGCATGAGACGCAGGTGAACGGAACTAAAGGTTGAATGAAAAGCATGGCTGCGGAGGCAGGGAGGGGGTATGTGAGCACACGGTAGGTGGACACTTTGTTCGGCTGCCTTTCCCGCCCCAGGGACCGAGCAGGGAGGGACAGATGCTGGCAGGGTGAAAGATCTACCTGCACATCATTCTGGGTGTTGTCAACCCCGGCAGCTGTTCCACTCAGCCGCTCTCATTAGATTGATATTGTTGCCGTGGTCGTTTCTTAACTTTGCTCAATTTCAATATTACCGCCGCTTATGCCGTTTTCTCTCTCTCTCGCGCTTTTGTCAACAACATCTGTCGCTTCGTGCCTTAAAATAGGGGCTCGGGTGCGCCTTTGCATTCTGTCGATTTTTTTTTCCCGGCGCCGCTCCCAGGCCCCTCGGCTCACGACGTCTTGTTAACGAGCTATTACAAGCGCGCCGCTGAGCTGTCTGGAGCGTTGTCGCAAACAAATTCCCCCCTCCCCCCCACCCTATGATAGGCGCAGCCCTCCTACGCCCATTATCCCCCCCCTCTCGGGGTACGCCAGGTCTGTTGGCTTCCCCTCGTTTCAGCGGCATTTAAGCGGACGTGACACGCCGCTGTACCCGAATGAACAACGCAGCCAACCAGGGCGTGCGAGAGAAAGTTATGGGAGGGGCACAGAGGAGGCCCGACACTCCCACCGGCCCACTTGTGTAGTGCTATAGATGCTACTTTGGTAGCTTACCGATTCCTTGTGCCGCTCTTCCCTCTTCCAGCAGTCTGACTCTTTTCTGCTTTCAACACTATTTTTTTGCCGTAGAGGGATGGCGAGGTCTCTTTTGCAAACTCCGGCATTGAGGTGGCACAATTAGGGTTGCGCAGACACGCCTCGGGCAAAGGGAAACATGCCGCGGCATTAGAGTTTAGGGAAGAGGAGGAGGACATAAAATCGGCGAAACTGCAGATCAAAGCCGGGAGATTTGCACACTTGCCAGACTTTTATGTAAGCTCCTTTTTTAAGCTGGGTGGAGCCAGCACGCTAAAGAAAAATACGATTGCCATCAAGCCCCCCCCCGTACCTTGATCCATACATTTACCAAAGATATTATTATTTCTAATCTGTGTACGATAGTGTTTGAAGTTTTCTTTGAAGGCTTTCAGCTGCTTTTTACATCCCGCACCTCTCTCATAAAGGTGAAACAATCTCACGGTATGCATCCGACACAAAACCAAAGTCTGCGCTTTCTCATCCGGAAGGCGGTGCATTGCAAAAAAAAACACACTGCGTAGAGCTTCACATCAGTCCGGTATGATTGCGTCGGAGAACTGCACAGCTGAGATCGAAACAACAATTAGAAGTTAGGGCTGATCGACGCGAAATGCCTCAAAAAACGTCGTTGGCCGTAGATCTCACTTCCGAATGGGCAGACGCGGGAATCTTAGCGCCGTATTTTTCTCAGCTTTTAAGATATAATGAGGCGAGGGAGGAATCAAAGCGCTGTAACAAATGAAATATATTAGGAGATAATAGAATAGCTGCGGCGCTGGTCATCTACTATGTTGAGTAATGCACACATTTAGAGCCTGATCAAGATTGATTGCCCTTGATGCCTCCACACGGGAGGCTACGGAATATGAATATGAATATGAGTCAATTTAGCGTCGCCCCTCTGTGTCTCTCTCTGAGTCATTACATCTCGGATCCTTTCTAGCTTTCCTTGATGTACTGTGGAAACCATGGCAACAACACAGAGCTGTCCATCAAAGTGCCACTTCACAACAGAAAGCAGATGGCAAAGTCAGACGGGGAGCGAGAAAAAGGGGAGCTCTGTGTCTGTTGCTCTGCGCGACCTTTACCCGGGTTACTCGCTCACGTGTCTCCCTGTCTTTGTGTGTACCTGTTTGTTTGTTTGTTTGTTTGTTTGTTTGTTTCTTCCTGTAGTTATGGGCAGTTTTGAGGAGGGCGAACGCACCCAGTCGGTCTCCCAGGGAGAGGGGGCCGTTATCCCGGCGCCCCGCATCCGCAGCTTCCCCCAGCCGCAGGTCACCTGGTTCAGAGACGGGCGCAAGACCTCCCCCGGCAGTCGCATGTAAGTCCTTTTTCTCTTGTGTTCATGTTCTTGTTCACTTTGCTCCCTCAGATTCGCTGCTTTACTCTGACTGTGTTTGATCGTGTAAAATGCTCCGAGCCGTGTTTGCTCCTTTCTGAGGGCTTTAGTTGCAGAGCGTCTGTTCCTGCCGGCCTTTTGTCATTCATCCTGATACGTTTCTTGTGCTAAGGGAGAGTTTCAATTCATCCTGCAAGACGGGGGCCAAGACCGAAGCGAAACGAGATAGCCACTTTGTTCCTCGTTTTTTCATTTTTTTTGAAGGAAACCAAAACATACCACTTTTATTTCAGTTCATCCACGTCTCGTTCCGTCTTCATTCGGAGCTGTATGTCTCCGGGGTGACCAGAGAGCACCGCGGCTGCCGACAACTGAAAGTGGGATTGTTGGTTTGCCTTCCCATCCTGTCCACTTAAGTATAGAAGTGGATTGTGAAAGAGGTGTCCTCTCACTGGGGTTCTCTATTTGGACAAAAAAAAGGGGGTGGGGGGCAGTGGACAACTTTTTTTACTTCAGTTCTGACCCTGTATGCTCCAATTTGAGACTCATATAAAATGAACGAATGTGCATTGGTGTGTTTTAGGCTTATCTATTATTGAAAGAGCAGTCAACCGATTAAGCATTGCACACCTATAACACTGTCAGACTCATAATTGGGCAAGAAGATTAAAATTGATTTAGCAGAAGCAGAGATGTCGTATTTCGTATTCCGCACATTGAAGAGCTCGCACCCATGTTTTAAGATCTGAGTGTTTCTCTGATGGTGACAAAAGGATGGAGCTGCTAACCTCAAGCAGAGATGAAGAGTGGGCTGCAGAGGTCTGGATGACTTCACAGCCATTGGTTCTTAATTGATTTCAAGGCTTTCCCCCCCCCCCAAATACAGTAATACTCCCAAAACCTGGAAGTTTATTATGATAAAATTAGTGGTACTTTAATATCCACATTGATAATGTAGCTTGTTAAGCCAAGGTGATCTTTCACCGTTGATCTGGTCCTTTTGGGTCCTGTGTCCTGTTTGTATGGGAATACTTTCCTGGTGTGTAGCTCCTTGCACACGTGTGTGTGTGTGTGTGTTAAAAAGGCACTTATCCCATCGCATCACATCTGCATTTCTTCGCCGTGGGAGGTGACCTTGCCCTTGGTTGGAGTGAATCTTTCTTATCAGCTCCTCATCATCAGTAATCACACCCTGACCTAGAATGACAATGAGACGAGCTCCCAAGACCGGCGCAGACGCTGAAGGCTCCTGGCGGCCGCTTCGATCTCGCTCCCTTGTTGTGGTGGAGATGCGGATTACTTTTGAGAATGTCCAACAAGTGGAGCTCTCTTTTTTTTGAAGGGATTATTCTTATGAAACTCGTGAGTGACACACATACGTCGTCAGTTTTGGCATCGAAGAGAGTGTTTAGTTGACTCTTGTTCGTCACTCATTTCTCTCTCTCTCTCTCTCTCTCTCGCTTGCTTTGTCTCCATTTTCGGCCACCCACTGTGTGTAAACTTGTGCCTCTCTCTTCATCCTTGCCACCTACCCGCCAGCTCTGAGAATGCTTATGCCGCGCGCACAACACCAAGGTCGCTTTGTGCAAATGAGCGTCATTGATAACGGGCCGCCTTTTCTCATTGAAAATCATTTAATTGAATTTGATTTGTGCCCCCAGCGTTGACTCCGCAGAGGCATCAGGGAGGAGGGGGGGGGGGGGGGGGGCGCCAAAGTTCTACACCGAGCCGCAAATGTTACCTTTTCAAGGACTGGTGCTCCGTAGACTGAACATCGTCACGTTGGCTTCCACGTGTCACAGAAATAGTCATTCGTGTGACTCCTGTTTGCATCTGCAAGATATTTTCTCCGTGCCAAATCACAATGGAAGTTGAATAGCAGGGAAGGGAGGAGGAGGAAGAAGACTAAAGAGACGAAGCGCTGAACTGCAACCGTGGAGCACATTTTATCTTTGATTTCGAAAATCTCTTTTCCTTTTCCACTACCTACGCTGCCTGTCCCCCTTGCTCCTGCTCCTGCCATCGCTCCTCAGGTGTCATGACTTTAATTTGCGGGCCCTCCAGGGGGGTTCGTCTTGTTCTTCTCCCCGTGCTCTGCTTAATCACGCCACAGCCACGGAAGAGAGGGGGTGAGAAAAAACAGCCAGACCCCGAATAACCGCGGTAATCGGCACCGACCGGCGGGCTGTTTGGATCGGAAGCTTTCTCCGCGCGCGCCTGCGCTGGTACCACGTTATCCGTCGCAATGTGTTTGCATTCACTTTGTCATCAATTTGACCTCGACTGTGTGGAAAGGCTGTCAGTTGCCACTTCAATTTAGGTCACACAGTGGGGGGGGGGGGGTGTTCTTGTCTTGTCTTGTCTTGCTCTGCTTTTGCAGGCGGAAAAGTGACAGTTGTTTATTTCAAGGGCTTTTTGAGATGTGACTTGTGTCTCAGGTCCTGTGCGCGTTGAGCAAACACATATGTGATCACAGGTGGAAGCCTCTAAATATTCTGTTGTTGGAGACGTTATCGGAATACTGGGATTAGGGTTTGATGGTGTTCAAAATCAAGCTTCAAATCTGTTTACAATATTTGGGGATTTGTTGGAGGGACAAGGAAGACGTGCACATTATTCTCCTGCTTCGGATCTGACCTGGGAAATGGCAAATGATGGAGCACGTACGGGATCCCTTCAATTGGAGCTCGAGGCAACATAACTACACATAACTACACACTTACACACTCTTATTGCAGACGGTCTTGTTTAGCATTTAGATCATTGAAAAAAAAAAACTCTATATAATCGAGAGCAGTTAAATATTTGATAGTGTGAACACGTCGCCTGTGAACCTGCGTGTGTAAAGGAAACCCACAGAAACTTGTGAGTGAATACTGGATTGTTGCCTCCCTGCTGATAGTTAGTTAACCCCCCCCCCCCCGCCCCCCCTCAGCAAGGCAGCGTCTCACTGTGCCACTGTGACTGCTCTCTCTTTGCCACGTGGCCTCTGCAGCTGTTGTTCCTGGCGCGGACGAGGACTCCTGCGACGTCTCTCGCACTGCACCCACAAACTCTTGCATCCCGCTCCATCGCCGCGTTCCTCTCCGACGGCTTTTCCTTGTGTCCTCGTTTGACTGGTTGCCTGTAGGTGTTGGTCCAGCTGCCTCGGTTCACCCGGGGGTCCTCGCGTTCCGCGTTGTGTTGTAGAAGCAAGGATATAAAATAACTTATTCGGCACTAACAGTCGTTATTCTTCCCTTATTGAATGGGAATGCATTCGGCCGGGTCTTTTCCATTCGGCTGCCGTGATTTGTCGTGTTATTTGGGGGACTTAATGTGCTGTATAATCAGCGGCTCCGTCAGTAAACACATTCGCATTCAGGAATTTCCGGGGGCTTTGCTGGCTGGCGTCTACCGCTGGAGAAAGCGCGGTCTGTCCTCTCCCTGTTTCGCCACTGACAACAACTTACCGTCCGCTACCTGGTTTCCTCCCCCAGAAAGCTTTTTCCGTTGACACGCGCCCATGGATTTATCCGCATTGCAATGAAGACAACCTTGTGGAGCCGTCCGTTAAAGACAGAACACAGAGGAGCCCGACCTGGTGGAGTCAGTGGGAGGACATCCCTGACGCACACACACACACCAGCACACACACACACGGCAATTCCCTTGAGTAACCTGCTGTAGGAAACTGATCAATTAACGGCCGGGGCCTGTGATGCTACGGTCCCGTCGGTCTGATATCGATTCCCCATTAGTCACGAGGGCCAGTGAGTGGCCGGGGCCCGTTTCACTGCGGCCGACCGGCTGGCCGTTGGTCATGAACTGGATCTGCAGGTCACGAGGGAGGGAACGTCAACAGAGCAGCAACCAAACACCATGAAGGAATGAACGCCTGGAAACGGAGCCGCAACTAACCTTTCAAATTCTTTTATTATTTGCGGGCGTTTCCTGATCTATCCGTCCCACACCCACTGGCACGTCTTCAAACTGCTTTTAATTACTTATTAAGTTGATTACGAATTTTTACTATAGACATTTCTTTATTTTCCTCTAACAAAGGTAGAAAAGAAATGTATTATGGGATTTTGTTCCATTATATTGGCAACAATACAAAATTGTCATTCGATTTGAGCTGCAGGTGAATATCAGTTTATTGTGTTCATGATTAGTTTTTATCATTTGGTCAATATGTATTGACTTGAGTAAGAAAAGAAAATCGTCGTCGTCACACCGAAGCATTTCTGCTAAAATAAATAACTAAAACAGTTAATTGGTTATGAAAACAAATCTTTCCATGGACATATTGCTGAATTACTTCATCTGTTTAGCTGTAGTTACTTAGCGGGTGGATGCGGGTTTTAACCTCCGGCTTCGCTCTGGTAGATCGTCGCTATTTGACCTCGCGTGGTAACATCTCTTTCTACTTTCCCTGTCTTATGAACGCTCGACCAGCCACGATGAACACGGCAGCGGGGAAGTAAACTGCGAGCCACAAATCTCTACTTTAACTCCTCTCATCCCTCGCATCTCTCCTTCCCCAGGAGCCTTTTTCACCACAGGTCTTATCGAGCAGTTGGACACGTCGTCCATCTCTCTCTTTCTCTCTCTCTCCCTTAAACTTTTCTGTTGCTTTTCATCTGTCTACCGGCCGTAGTTTGACTCTTTTCTTCAGCCGGCCGTGTGAGGCCTGATTCCCCGTCCACCCCTCTCCCTCTCTCCAGGGGGGGGGGCGATCCGCCGACTGGGCCCCGTTTTGTCTGCATGTAACGGAGGTCTGAGGCTGTGGAGGGAGGAGAGTGTGTGTGTGTGTGTGTGTGTGTGTTTGTAAGAACGGGCACAACTCAACTGTGAGAACTGGAGTGACATGATAAGATATGCACACAGAGTGACAGTCGGTGAATGAGCTTGGATAGAAGGATTAGTTGTTAAAAATGAGTCCGTGGGGGCGAAGTGTCTCTTAAATAAAGAGAGCATCACTCCATTTGCTGTGTAATGCCGATACTGGTCCCTCTACACTTTGCTTGTTGCTCTGCGTTAAAGCCAATCTGTTGAAGGCAGGACTGTCGCGCCGTTGTTCCGGATTGGCTGTTCTGCATTGAAGGTACAGATATTGGATGGGCGAGCCTTGTCGCCCCACTGCTAGGTATTGCAGGATATCTGTATTAAAGGGTATTATGAGAGATGGTTGAGTATGCTGAGTGCCTATAAATAAACCGTTGTGAAGTAATTATACTGTCAGTGTTTAATAAATAAGCTTGATAAGAATAGTTAAATAAAAACCTAAAAAACCTCATCTTCATTACTGATTATTAAGTGCTGGCAGTTATCGGAAAGCCCCCCCCCGACGCCTCACGTCAATGAATTGATCCAAAAGAAAGTAATTACATATGAGGCTAATGCTGCTTCTTGCTGCAAGCGGAAGCGCGGTGGCACGGGACGCTGCAGACGTGGGCCAGGATGTTTTTTACGAGCAGCTGTCCAGCTCTGTCAGGCTCTCCCGCACCGCAACTCTTTCTGGAGAGTCGTAATGGAAAAAGGAAATTGGGTTGGAATGAAGAGAGAAAGCACTCGACGCTGCAGGAATGAACATAGAAACAGGCAGGTACAGAGGCATGAGCTCCCATTTCTGATTTGTCCAAATTTCCCCCGCTCTGCGGCTTGATAAATCCCTGCACCGTGCCGGTTACACGGTAAGCCGTCATTACAAGCCAGCTGCACACACACACACACACACACACACACGCTGACGGGACTGGGGATTTTAATAAGGGTGACCAAAATGCATCAAGAGAGATAATCAGATTTTTTTTTTTCATTAATTTCTTTGAAGCAAAATTACTTGCAGGAAGTGTAGTTTTTTTTTAAATGAACAATTCCATTAGCTCTCGTATCTCCGACTTCCTGCTCCCTTGATATACATATGAAGCCATTCAGGGTAATTGGCTTACTCTTAATTTTGTCTCTGCACCGTGCGGTGTTTGATCTCGGAGGGCGGCGTGCACGGGGAGAGCTGTTAATCTGCTGAACACGCTGTGCGACAAAGTCTTG